AACATCATGCCAAAAGAACCTTAGCTATTCTACAAAGCACTGAATAGACTGAGAGACAAAGAGATCATGTGTTGAAGCCATCATAAGTAAGACCTATCTTATCCAAAGCATCCCAGAACTCCTCTATAAAAGATTGAGTCTGGAATACTTTGGAGGGGGTATCTGTAGGCATCAAAAAATGCTGAAAGGAATCCAAACACAGCTCAAAAGGAAGTCATCCAAAATGTCAAAAAGAACACAAGTATAGGCTGTCTCGCATGCGAGACAGTCTTTACTGTCTCGCACGCGAGACAGACTTGACTGTCTCGCCGTGCGAGATAGTCTTTACTGTCTCGCAGGGCGAGACAGACTTTTACTGTCTCGCCAAAATAACGGAGTTTGAAACGTGGGAAGGCAGTTAAAACGAAAACTGCCTGACGGTTACTGTTTCCGAGACAGCGTTTACTGTCTCACGGGCCGAGACAGCAAACACTGTCTCGCCCGCCGAGACAGCAAACACTGTCTCGACAGCCGAGACAGCAAATGCTGTCTCGCGAGCCTATTTTCCGCCAACTGTCCATAGGGGCTATAAATACTCCCCGAAGGCCATTTTGAAAGGGGGGCTGATCAGATAGAATCCACAGGCTGATTTCAGAGCAGAGAGGGCAGAGTATTCGAGCTTCTGTAACTCCTTGATATTCAGGCTTTGACTTGATTTCAAGAAGAACGACTATCTTACCTTGATAAGATATCGTTTCAAGTTTTCACTTCGATAAACGAAGTCAGAATCATAAACCCCTCACGATTCGATCAGAATCTGTGATTTGGTGGTCCACGGGCTAACGCACCCCCGGCACAGGCAAAGATCCCACGCAAGCAGTGATCCAAACAACGATCCTGCGTTTGTTTCCCAAGAGTTGTAATTTTCATTTTGTTGTGTAAAAGAAGTCTTATAAAAAGGCTATCTCTTTTTGAGTTTATTGTAATCGACTGAAGATATAATGAATTCCATGACAAAACCAACTTTTGACGAAAACACCCTTTTGCTGAGTATAGCCTTTAGCTACTAATCTAGTTTTAAATTTATTAATGGAACCATCAACTCTAAGTTTCTTATTGAATATTCACTTAAAACCAACAACTTTATAACCTGGAGGTAAGTCGGTGAGTATCCAAGTATTATTTTCCATGATAGATTTAATCTCATTATCAATGGCTTCTTTTCAGAAATGAGATTTAGGTGAGTTCATTGCTTCTTAGAATAAACTTGGATCACCTTCAACAAGAAATGTAAAGAAGTCTTCTCCAAAATCCTTTTGAATTCTACCTCTTTTACTTCTTTGAGGTTCAATATCAGGAGGCTGAGAAGAACTATAAGATGGTAGATCAGAAGGAAGAGATGAACTAGGATTTTCTAAGACTTTAGATTTAAAAGGAAAGATGTTTTCAAAAAAGACTGCATCTCTAGCTTCAATGATAGTGTTGTTGGATATGTCACTGATTTTGATTTTAATGACTAGAAATCTGTTAACATTGTTATCTAGTGCACATCTAATAAAAATAGTATCTACAGTTTTAGAACCAATTTTTCTCTTCTTAGGTTTGGGAATAGCTATCTTAGCCAAGCAACCCCAAACCCGGAAGAAGATCAACCTAAGAGATCTCCCCTTCCAATATTCATAAGGAGTTATATCAAAAGTTTTATGGGGAATCCTATTGAGAATGAAGTAAGCAGAAAGAAGAGCTTTACCCCAGAGATTTTTAGATACTCCTGAATTGAGTAACATACAGTTTACCATGTCCATTAGGGTTCTGTTCTTTTGTTCAGCTACCCTATTAGATTGTGGTGTATAGGGAACAGTAATCTCATGAATAATACCATATTCTTAGCAATATTCACTCATATCATTTGAGGTATACTCCCCCTCCCCCTACGATCAGATCTTAGAATCTTGATCTTTCTGTCAAGTTGGTTCTCAGATTCAGCTGTATACACCTTAAACATATATGTAACTTTATCCTTGGTCTTGAGAAGATAGGTGTAACAATATCTGGAGTGATCGTCTATAAATATCACAAAATATATCCTATCCCCTCGGGTGAGAACTTGGTTCGAGTCACACACATTACTATGAATTAATTCGAAAGGTTCAGAGTTTCTAGTTATAGACTTAGAGGGTTTTTTAGTGTGTTTCCCTTGAACACAAATCTCACATTTAGATGAGGGATCATGAGGTGATTTATGAATAAGATTTAATTTAATCATCCTCTGCAAGGTTTGGAAATTGACATGTCTAAGTCGTCCATGCCAAACATCACAAGACTCAACAATTTGTGCAACAGAAGACTCAAAAATTTCATTAGAATTGGAATTAATTACATTGAGTTCGAAAAGATCATTACAGATAAAACATTTTCCAATGAATACATTATTCTTAGTAATCACAAATTTATTTGATTCCTTTACAATCCTAAAGCCAGCTCTAAGATGAAGAGTTTCATTGATCAAGTTACGACGGAGAGAAGGAACATAATGACCGCCTTGCAGATTTGGAGCTTTCCCAGAGGTCACGTTGAGCTCTATGCTTCCACTTCCCATTATTTGTTTGGTGGAGTCATCTGCTAAGATTATGCTTCCTCCACATGATTCCTGATAAGTTGAAAACCAAGAGCAATCATTGCAAACATGAATATTAGCTCCAGAATTCAAGTATCAGTCAGTGGAAGAAGTAAGAGAATTAACAAGATAAGATGGAGAGGCTAACCTGAAGGAAGTTGGATTCTCTTCAATCATATTAACTTTGTTGGATCCATTTCCTTTAGGACCTGAAGGAAGTTGGATTCTCTTCAATCATATTAACTTTGTTGGATCCATTTCCTTTAGGAGCAGGTTTGGCCGGTTCCTTCTTGATTCTCTTCAATCATATTAACTTTGTTGGATCCATTTCCTTTAGGAGCAGGTTTGGCCGGTTCCTTCTTTCGAAAGAAACAGTTGGGAGTCAGGTGGTTGGTTCTAGAACAGACATAGCAGAACTTTCCATTAGACTTATGACTAGAAGGATTGGGATTGGATTTGGATGAAGATTTGTTGAAGGATTGATGTTTTTTCTTGAATTTCTTCCCTTTGGGTTTGAAATTCCTAGATTTAGGCTTATCCTCTACAAGTTCACTTTATCTTTCATTTTGGTCTTGGTTTTGGAATATTACCTATGCTGGTCTTCAATACGAATAGTCTTAAGGGCTTCAGTTAAGGTTAAATCTCCTTGCGTGTGTCGGAGATCTCCAGCAAATCTAGACCAGGAGGGAGAGAGTTTATCAATCAAACATGAAACTTTATAATCATCAGTAAAAGTGTTTCCTTTTGATTGGAGGTGACGGAGAAAATCTTGGAATTTATGAATTTGTTCATTAATGGGTTTGTCATCAATCGTCATGAAGTTATTAAAGGAGGAGGAAGTGAAACGCAGAATTCCGGCATCATCATAGCCATATTCTGCTTCAAGAGCATTTCATAGGTCTTTAGCACTTTTGAAGTCATAAAATATATCATAGAGGTTGTTTGCAAGTACACTAAGAATCCTACGGCAACAATGATAGTTGATTTCTTCTAGTTTCTTAGAGCTAGAAAAGGAGCTAGCACCAGAACCAGAAGTGGAAGGAGAGGGTTCACGTTGAGGACCATAAACATGAGAGTTGGAGGGTTGAGATCCACTGGATGAAGACTCGGGAGTCTCTATGGTAGATAGAAGACCTAAGGTGGTGAGCCAGTATTTCATCTGATTAGCCCACCGTTTATAGTTAACACCGGTGAACTTCTCAGGTTTGACACTCTTGGAATGATCAGAGTTAACCATAAGTCCAATTTGAGTTTACTAGTCTAGGTATTTGGAACCTGATTGAAAGAATGGTTTTGTCAATACTACTCGATACCAAGGAGTATAACTTGGATTAACAATTGAAAAGAATATTAAAATTCTAATGTAGTAAACAATTAGACAATAAATGATTTTAAATTAATTTCTAGTTAAAAGGCAACTAACAAACAAAAGTAATTAACTAATTAGAGCAATATTATATATTTCTTTTTATGTGAACAGTAAAAATATTTTTTTTATGAACAGTAACCTTTTTTAAAAATAAAATAACAGCTAATTAATACTATTACTAGATAATGAAAGCAATTAAATTAAATGAACAGTAATGAACACTACTTTTTTCGAATTAACAATTAAAGGCAATTAATTTAGAACAAGTTATTTCATATTTAAATTAACAGTAATAAAAATCCCAATCTTCTAGATTGCTGTTACAAACCAAAATATTAGTATATAGTCCGAAAATAAAAGGTCAAAAAATCAGGCTTGAAGGGAGCAGTCGTAATTTCACTGCTCTAGAAGATTGAGGACCCGTCTATCGCCTTGACGCAGTCGATCCTCTCTCCCCTAGCGGTAAAAACCCCCGGTTCGACCAGCCTCCGTAGTCGGGCGAGAGTAGCAGAGCTTAAGCTCAGACGAAGAACGTTGCCCACAAGAAAAATAGTTAAACATTAGCCAATAAAAATTTTAGAAGGAGAGAGCTCGGTTTTGAGATGAAAGAGAAGAGGTTTTTTTGTGTGTTTTTCAGAGGATGAGAGAAGTGAGGAGTTTGAGGCCTTCGTAGGTGTTGCTCATCCCGGCGGGGCGCTGCGAGGCACGCGCATGCGCGCTTGTGTGTTATGCAAAGCCCACGAAACCCAAAACACTATTTGAAGCTCAATAAAGAGTGAACCAATATAAACCATTAAACTTCATATCATCTTCCAACGTGGAACTATTCACAAAGGCAAAATAACATTTTTCATGAACAATACATCCAACAAATACTACCCAAAAATGAAGCGAAATATTTATTTAATTTTACGCTAAGTGTATAATTTAACATTTGAATGGATTAGAGGAAACATTGGATTTTAAAACCAAGCTGGGAACTGAAATCGAGTTCTTCAGAAAGCATACGAGCTATCACGCTCGAGAGGCGACTTTTCCAAAATCTGCAAACTAGCGCGAAACTTAATCGACCACAAAAAACACCAATTATCACGTCGCAAACTCCGAAGTAAAGGGAAATAAAAAATCGGACCCTGAAGAACCAATCTGCAGTGAGATTCACGGGACGAAATCTACGGAGGTGTAATTTTTAGTTTTCTATTTTTGTTTAGTGTTCATTTGGTTCTCCAATGGAGATGAAAATTTTCACCCCGTGAGATAAAGAGTTTAAGCTGCGAGTAACTACTTAAAACAACAGGACTCCTATTTGGCGCGACTAATACATTTTGTTTCTTGCTTCGAAAAATTTTAAACCAAATGATCCGTCGCTATTCAGCCAACCCCCGCAAGCTTCTCAACAAAATCCCAAAGCAACCACTCTCTTCTTCTCCCAAGCAGCACTCGGAGCAAGAAGACACTCTCATAACCTCCCTCCTCCAAAAATGCCCAAACATGACAACTCTCCGCCAAATCCATGCCCACTTCCTAAAGTGCCCCTCCCCATCTTCCCATTATGCCCTCTCCAAGATCCTCGCCTTCGCCGCCCTCTCTCCCTCTGGCGATATCGCTTATGCCCGCCGCGTGTTCGATCAAATTCCCCACCCGAACATCTTCACTTGGAATTCCTTAATCAGAGGCTGTTCTCTAATCCAAACCCCAACAAAAGAACCCATTTCAATTTATAAGCATTTGGTCAATTCGTGCTTCCCGAGCCCGAACACATTCACCATTGCCTTTGTTCTCAAGGCCTGTTCGATTGTTATGGCCTTCTTCGAGGGACGGCAGATTCATTCCCATGCTTGTAAGTATGGTTTGGACTCCAGCCCTTTTGTTCAGACTGGATTGCTCTCATTTTATGCAAAATGTGAGGAGATTTCGATGGCTAAGTTGGTGTTTGATGAAATTACTGATAGGAATTTGATTGTTTGGAGCGCGATGATTAGCGGATATGCGAGGATTGGGATGGTTAATGAGGCATTGGGAATGTTTAGGGAGATGCAAGAGGTGGGGATTAGCCCGGATGAGGTTACGATGGTTAGTGTTATATCGGCTTGTGCAAAGGTGGGAGCTTTGGATTTGGGGAAGTGGGTTCATGCTTTTATTGATAGGAAGGGGATTAGAATTGATATGGAGCTGAGCACTGCACTTATTGATATGTATGCTAAGTGCGGGCTAATAGAGAAGGCGAGAGAGGTGTTTGATGAGATGGAAGTAAGGGATACGATGGCTTGGAGCTCAATGGTTGTTGGATTGGCAATTCATGGGCTTGTGAAAGATGCTCTGGAGCTCTTTTCAAGGATGTTGCAGATGAAGGTATTGGATTGAAAAACAGCAATTATCATTCTTGTCGTAATGAATATCACCTTAACTAATTGTTAGTGCGTGACTACTGACTATTAGACCTTATATACATAAGTAACTCAAACAAGGCAAGGTCTAATTTATCATATCTTCTGTAGTCAGAATAAAATATCTTCTTTAAACTTTTATTCTGTTAATATATCTAATAATATATTTAGCAAGGTTGTGGAAACCAAAAAGCAGAGTTAAGCGGCAGTGTGCCACTTAGGCTTTTTGGGGCTTCGGCAGAAAAAAGTGCCAAATCGTTTTTACTTCTAAATAAAAGCCATAGTTCAAAAAATCCAGAAAAATAACCTGAAAACTATGAAACAAGCAAAAATTGGATGATTTTTTTTTCTACAAATGCATATGTGATGATTTGGAGAGATCTAAGCATGTAGATATATAGCATTACTACGCTTCAATCATGCAACATTAACAAAATACTATAAACATTGTGATAAACTAACATATAGTGTCCTATGTACATCAAACAGGCAATATGTTGATGACTTAAAATTATTAAAGTAAAAGCTTTTCGCCATCGCTTTTGGGCTGTTTTGGGGTTTGTGGCTGCTTTTGGGCCTCTTTGTTTCCAGTTTCTTTTCAGTGGGCTTTTTCGAGTGAAAAGCGGCTAAGGGTCCAACATGCTTCAGCAGTCGCTAAGCCTCTTAAGTGCCGCTTTTTTGCTTCTTTTTACAACACTGTTCAGTTATTGATATGATTTCTCGTGCAATATTGCACTTCAATTCTTTTTTCACACCTTAAGTACATTATTGTATAGCATATAGTTTTCTTCCATGACTGACTAGGGTAGGTGCATTTTTTGGAGTAATGCGGACAAGATACACAGAATTTATTAACTACAGAACATAACTACAAAATATACATGAAAGGAGTGGGGAGAAGAGGGAAAAGTACAGCAAGAGGAGGCAAAGAGTAAATATTAGAGGGTAGCAGCACTTACGTAAATTGTGCATGTCGTTCAATATTTTAGCCAATTGAATGTTTGAACTGATCTTAGCAACATCTTATTGTGGTAGTTTTGATGAGTTTAACAGGCCATATACAGATGATAGCTTCATAATAATCAAATAGTAGTAAGATCTAATACTCACCCCTAATGCAAATGAAGAATTAAATTTACACCTTTTAAACTTTTTTGTTGTTGTTTTTGAAGTTGTAAAAATTCTCTTTTAACATTTTTCAGGTGAAGCCTAACCATGTGACATTCATTGGCATTCTCTCAGCCTGTGCTCACAGTGGATTAGTGAGTGAAGGCCGAAGGCTTTGGTCAACGATGCGAGAGTTAGGCATTGAACCAATGATGGAACATTACGGGTGCATAGTCGATCTATTATGCCGAACAGGTCATTTTGAAGAAGCTTACACTTTTGTCAATAACATGCCTATTTTTCCTAATTCAATAATATGGAGGACACTTCTTGTGGGATGCAAGAACAGTAGGAGTCATGATAAAGCTGAGATCATAGCCAAGCATCTTCTTGAGCTAGAACCTCTCAATGCAGAGAATTATGTGCTCCTTTCTAATGTGTATGCTTCAGGCTCTCAATGGGAGAAGGTGAGTGGCATGAGAAAAAAGATGAAAGATAATGAGGTTAAAGTTGTCCCAGGGCTGAGTTCTATTGAGATTGATGGCTATGTCCATGAGTTTGCTGTGGGTGATGAATCACACCCAGAGATGAAGGAGATAAGGAAGATACTAAGGGATATTTCTGAGAGAGTTCAACGCACTGGTCATCAGCCATGGACTTTATCAGTCCTTCATGATGTGGATCAAGAAGAAAAAGAGAATGCACTTTGTGAACACAGTGAGAGGCTGGCAATTGCTTTTGGCATGTTGAAAACTAAGGCGCCAGTGGTGATTCGAGTGGTGAAAAACTTAAGGGCTTGTGTGGACTGCCATGAGGTTACAAAAATCATAAGCAAACTATATGGAAGGGAGATAATTGTCAGGGATCGTGTCCGTTTTCATCGGTTTGTTGAAGGAACTTGTAGTTGCAATGATTTTTGGTGATTATTTGTATAGCAAGATCATTTTCTTGATGCCATGTAAGTGGTGTGCACTCATATTAAGTCTTCTGAAGATGGCTAGGCATATGGAAACCATATGGGAGATCCCTGGAAAGATGTGGAATGGCTCCCATGTTGTGTTCTTGTTTTCAAGGATATAAACAGATGAACGTTGACAAATAGGCATCTCCAGCATTCATGCTAAACTCCAGAAATCTTCAATAAGGGAGAAAAGGGTCTATCATTGACATTAAACTCTTGCTCGTGTTCCACAACCTTATTTTTGGAGAAACTGTTTTGAATGACAATTGAAGGTAAATGTATTATTTATAAATCATGGTTTATACTATGATAGTAGTTGTATGATTGTTATCTCATGACTCGTGAGCTATTTCATAGAATAGTAAAAAGACTTGCTTGTATTTCCTCATAATAAAAATTTCCTTGATAGCTGAGAAGCTCAACCTAATTTTTTTTTTACAGATATAAATAATTTCAGGTTCCTTTAAGATGAAAGCTTTAAGGCGGTTTCATTGACGTCTGAGATTACCTAGAAGGACCACTCAAGACCTTATCAAACTGGAAAAATTCTTTGTCAACCATTATGCATCATATTAGTCTCCGAAGGACCACTCAAGACCTTATCAAACTGGAAAAATTCTTTGTCAACCATTATGCATCATATTAGTCTCCGTTCCCAGAGTTTAATAAAAAGTTGGTTTGATTTGTGTTACTGGAGCATTTACATAGTTTATATTTCCATTCCTATCTGTGTCAAGAAGGGTAAAGCAAAAATAAATTGACGGTATCTTGCATGTATACTACTTTGCTTATCTACCCTGTATAAATGCAACTTGGAATTTAATTCTGGAGTGAAAATATTGCATTTATATATCAATAGTCAAATGCCTTCCTTCCTGGCCTCCAAGTTCAGCTAAGCTCAACCTCAGTCTGCTTTCTTTCCTCTACCATTTATGGATTTTTCTAAAGATTTGTGCACTTGATGGTCTGTTTGTAATTTAATATCATTTGCCTTCGGTATATACCATTTATCGTAGGTATAGTGCTTTAATAACCCAGTTGCCGTAGAAAACAGCTCTATGACACCCCCACGTAACTATGCATCCAACTGTCGCTTTGGCTGTCTAGTGAACACCCACTGAGTGTCCAAGGTTTTGCTTGTACCATAGCCTTTCCATTAAGGGGTTAAAAGGTTAACATTCTTTTTCCTTGAAATGATGCTTGGCAACCGGTACACGAGCCATCGTAAAAGCATGACATGACATCTCAGTGTTAAAAAAACACCATACATACCATGCAATGAGAGGATAAAGACGCAAGACTAAGAATTCATATGACATAGAAGCATCTCACAATTTTACAAGGGTTAGAGTACCTTAGAAGACATTTTTGTGCATGAGTGTATTTGGGAATATTTTTTCAAAAACCTAGTCTCAGTTTATTGACTATCAAAAAATTATTAATATCTTCTTTCTGTTGAACCACTCAAAATTAACAAGGTAGTATCCTGATCATTCATAGTTTCATTTTAGAATTTGGCCAATGACAAAATAATTCTTGTATTGCCTATTACCTAATGATTTTACAGACACATGAATACACATATTGTGTCTGGCAGGTGTTTAATGCATGTGTCATATATGAGCACACATTAGTAAACCCAATAGGTGCGTCATAAATTCTCATTGTATGTTGTTGGATTGTTATCTCAACTACATGTCATTTAAAGATTTTTTTCCCCCTTGATTGTCAAAATCCTTACATATGGTCTCATGGTTGTCTACAAAAGTTTAATTTCAAAGTAATTTGCATTGCTTCCACAGTTCTAACTTAGAGCCTTGTTTCTTAGTTGTACTCTTCTCTCTTTTACCATCCTTCGTTTTGAACAATATTGTCCTGACCTTCAAGTAATCAAAGTGGTTGCTAATCAGTATTCTTGGCCATGAACTACAAGTATAAATTCCTATGGACCTTCAAGTAATCAAAGTGGTTGCTAATCAGTATTCTTGGCCATGAACTACAAGTATAAATTCCTATGGCTTCATTGATAGAAAATCTCATGTGATATATGTGTATCCATGTTATCCGACTCTTTTTGTTTCCATCGAACATAAGGTTAGACTTCTGGCAAATGGAAAAGCATTTGTTCTGATCCCAAAATAAACTTTAGTAGTTACCTGTATTTGTTATTTCTGAGCATGTTGCAAGTGTTTTGATATTTATGCTACCTCCCGTGATGGTTATCTTTTGCGATTTACATGCACAGAGTTCTAGCTCTATTTATAATATTCACATGATAAAATTAACTTTTTAAGTTTTTACTGCATTATGGGAAGTTTTCTTCGCATGTTAGGTGCTTGCTATTCATTACCTTCGTTGTTATAACACCCATGACATTTTAATAAGAAATCACTTTCTTGCAGATCTTAATGCTGTTTGCCTTCGTTTCTTACCGATCTGAAGATCAGCGGGCTTATGAAAGGTATTTTTATGAAGTTTCTCTTCTATAAATTTCATTATATAAAATCAATAATGAGTGGCAGTTCAAAAGATATGAAATGTAGAAAAATGATAGGAAAGGAAAATTAAAGGATACACAAGCATATTTTCGAATGTTTTCTCCATGTAATATCACTCTTGTACAACATAAGCTTGTTTTCGAAGGATTCCTGTTGATGCTCACAAAATATTATCTGTATCCAGAGCATTTCTATTGGTGCTTCTTGCTAATAATGATCATTCTCATAGATATTATTCTACATTTCAAGTTTGTATATGTGATCAGCCATCATAGTTGCTTCTTGCTTTCTTGTTCTGACCTTCCATCTTTTATGAATGCAAGGTCATAGAACACCCCTTGTATTTGAGAATAGAATATGTTACTAAGTGAAGTATGTAACCATCTTGATTTCAACAACCTTGTTCATAGAATTGTTCGAAATATAATGGAATATCATGGAATCACTTTCTGCTTTCTGTGTTTATCTTACCTTACCCATAGACATCTTATATTACTGATATCCTCGATATGCTCAAATTGTATTATTAGGACCTCTAATTCGCATCAGGACCATCATCATCATTACAGACCTCCCTAATAAATGGTATATCTGGATGGAGCATCAAAGTCAAGTAGGTCCATGAAGACTGACCAAAATTTATTGCTGCCTATGATCTTAACATCGACCCTTTGACTTGATGGACGATACTCATCTAACTCTTTAAATTATGGATCTGATATTGATCGTTTTGAGATTTCAGAATGTGTAGATGAATAAAGTCTATTTAGTGTTACTTCATATAATATGAGTAATATTTCTACTTAGGGGGTGTTAGTCAATTGGGACATTTTCATGCAAAATGGGATAATTGTTAAAGTGGAATAATATTTCGCTAGTGGGATATTTTAGTGGGATAACTAGGAACAATTTTGTGAAGCAGGATATTTTGATAAAATAACGTGGGATAAATTTTTATAATCATGAAGTATATATTTATGCATTTTGAAGATATAAATACTATTTATGTATTTTAAACTTACTATTATTAATTGATAATTGCTTACAAGAATGTTCGTTACTATTAAATAACTTTTGGTTAGACTATAAGATATTGACAATTATTATTATGATGATGGTCTAATGATGGTGATAACCATAATAGGAAATAAGTAAAGAAAAAAAATAAAAAATAACAAAATAAATACGAGTTCTAGTTTTTTACCACATAGTTCCAAGCTAAAACTTGGAATAATTTGAGAGACTAGAACTCTCATTTTTGTATAGAAAAATAAAAAAAGTGGGATAATTTTGTACAATTATCCCAATTCTAGTTTTGTTAAAGTTCTGCTTGACTAACACTGTAAAATTTTATTCTAGTTTTAGTTCTATGTGACTAACACCTTAAAATTTTGTTCTAGGTTTAGTTCTATGTGACTAACACCTTAAAATTTTATCCCACAGATTATCCTAGTTCTAATTTTAAGTTCTAGGTGACTAACCCCCCCTTAAGGTTTTTGTTTTTCTAGACAGTGATGTTCAATAGTCTCTGGTTTATCTTTCTTATCCAATCGAGTTTTCATATCAAATCGATTATATGTTTTTATCAAGTATGGATACTGAGTTTAATATTCAGACACTACATATTTGTACATGTATCCCAAGATGAAACCAATACGGATATAGTAACGCCATTAGCTGCTAAGCCTGCTATGCATCTGCTGTGTTTGCATCCCTACATCATGGACACTGCTACCACTATAATAGCAATTCTGATCTGACACCCAATCACATAGTACATCTGTGTGGTTACTTTGGTTAACTGAGGCCAGTTATATTGGTGACTGAGAAATATTGGAAGATATCAGTTTCCAAAATTAGGAACAATGATTCATCATCGCAAGTTTTAGGAAGATATGTTTATAGAGTTAAGTAGCTGATTGCTTCTCGACTATTAGTTCTATGGTATAACCATGAACTTGAGAGGAGCAAAATGATAAATGGATATCAAACCAGGATGATTAAACTAGAGAAGTGCTTCTCAAATACTAAGTACAGAGATGTTTTGTATTTATTGACCAGATTCATTGTACGAATTCAAATGGCATCAAGTCCAAGGATGGAAACACATCTATTTGATAGTTGTCATTCACATTGCATTGATTCATGTTGTTTCCTCTTGGATTTGATACCATTTGAATCCGTACTATGGATCTGGTCTATACTATCATGAGCAAGTGCATCGTGTAGCTTTCTTATGATGAATCTAGTTGTTAGAATATAAAAATATAATCCTCAATCATCATTACAACTTTGGAGTTTAGGTGTAATGGTTAGGAACTTTAACATGGAGCAACCCAGGTTCAAATCCTGCTGGCTACAAATTTAATGTGGATTTTAAAAAAAATTTGATATCGTTGTGTGAGCCCAAGTTTCAGTCCATAAAAAGGGCACTCAACCTGATTAGTAGTGTTCATATTCTTAACAATTTTCCGAAGTATAATTAACATGTCATTACTCTGTTATTCTGGGAACATCTAGTGTTTATCCAGAATTGTAGTGCACTAGAGAGTTGATAGCATAAACTATTTAAAATATTGTTGTTTACCTTGCTATTATTTTTAAACAAAACGCGTTATGGTGGATAATCTTGATTATAGATGTTTCATTGCGACCTTTTGTTCCTGATTGTTGCTATTTGGATACTAATTTATATATTCATTTCTGCCATTTGGATGATAATAAAGAAAATTCTTAATTCTTTAACTCTAATATTTACCAGACTCCCAATGTTTTAGCATCTATCAGTGGCAGGAGCACTAAGAGGTTAGCTAAAAGTGCTCCTTCTAGATTCTTCAATGCGCTATTGTCTAACGGCATACATTTTGGTCCTGTTAAATCTTCAAAATGGCATTGCAGCATTTACCTCTTCAAGATAATTAATGTTTTATGTCACTCAAAATTAGTACACATCAAGATTCAAGAGATTAGACAAGGCACAGAAACTTGTAGAAGTATCATGAGGGTATCACAACAAAGGATTTCTTGCAATTGTCCACGAGTGCGCTGGCCATTGCTATGTTTATTAGAGCTTATGCTATGTTTATTAGAGCTACGGACTCTCACAAAACTGACATGATTTGTTGATCTTAGTTCAGGATATTAGAAGCAAGGCAAATTAATAGCAAGAGAGGTCCCATATATCTGCTTTAATTGCTAAAATGACAGGAAAAAGTACAACTAGTAATAAGTTGATCTTACATAAGTTGATCTTGCATTAGGAGCTAATTGGAAAAGAGTAACAGAAGAAGGCTCTAAGGGCATTTTGGGCCTCCTCTCTTGGTCTTCCAGTTATTGTAGCATGGGCATTTTTCCTTGTTGGCATAGGTCCCTGGAGGTACACATTTGCATGTATAACAGCATTTCTGGCAGAAGAACAAGCAGGGTTTCTTGTATTGTGTCTTTGAACACCTGAACTGACATGCACCAGGACACTCTGCAAATTCAACAATTATTTGTCTGAAAATCTTCTTCCCAAAATATAATCAGATGAGAAATTTAGAAGGTAAACAAGGTGCTCTGTAGTGATTTTTTCCCCATTTTCCTTTGGTTTTTTGCATACTTATACATTATGTTGGAGAGCAACATAACTAACATATTTTAGTAACACGCATCATAATCACCAAAAGTTGAGTGACTAAGAATTTCCCACTCAATATATCTGCTGTGTCCATACCAGAACAATGTGCTAGTTTCTATGTATGTTATCTGCTTGATTCACTATGTTAACTGTTATTGAGAGTTGGTTGCTAAATTTCATAATGTCTAGGTCCTTTCAGTTTTGATATGTCTTTGCTCAATTCTGCTAGGGTCCTACTCCTATTCAACTGGGGTATGATTAAATCATACTCGACTTCGTCTTGAAACAGGTAAGTTGGGTTCAGATCTACCTACATGAACCATTTGCATTCAAGAGGTAATGAGAAAAGGAGATATTAAGTTCCCTTGATCTTTATTAAAAAAAAACCATATTTCATTTTCTTCCATGAGAACCTGAACTGCGAGATTAAGATATTGTTTTATATAGCAAACGCAGCATGTTCTGAATTGCACCATTCCTTACTGGAGCTAATACTCATTTAGGTCTTTGACTTCTGAAGCTCATCTTATTATCCTGAGGTAGTTTTGTCATTATAGTGATTGCAAATTGTGAAATTAGGATAAAAGTATATTACATTCTATTGGCTAGAGCATTGAGTCCTATGTACTATGTTCTGGCAGCTTATAAGGATTTTTTTTTAATAAGGGTAGCTTTTACGAGGATGAAGTTGCATAGAGCTTTTATTCTATATATATATATATATATATAGTCGCATATAGGTTGTCATCATATTTTACTCTGGACAACCAAAATATCATAAAAATCGAAATATCCTTGTCTTAGTTTTAGGCTGGCATTGTGCTTTTTCTATCAAAAGATTGCCTTTCGAATAGTGTGGTTCATAAGTACGTATATTTCTGATCAGTTGTTCATGTTTGTATCGGTTCTTTGTAATTTTATTTTACTATGTACTTTGCTAGGATAGTGCAAATATAGATTTTCTTAACAGAATTAAGCAGTAATAGTCATAAATAATATGTTCAAATGATTTATGTAACCCACCTAGTGTGTTATGAAATTGTTCTGGGTCCATAACCTCGTAAATGGTTTCTTAGCGCACAAGAATTAGAGGACATGTAATATCGAAGAATGAAATATAGTTGGTGGAGAAATCATCCGGGGATAGATTGGATTAGATCGCAGTAAATATGGAGCATCTATTCAGATATTATCTTCTGACTTCGGTCTCCTAAGCAAGCTGGTCACGTTTGTTCTGATATGGCCAGGGTTTCAGCACATATTTTGCAGATTATGTGCATGTAAGTCTTGTTTGATAACAAGTAAACTTTTATGGGAGTCTATAGCTCTATCAAAAGTTAGTATTATCTACTATGCTCTCTTGCCAGATTAGGAATCTTTGTACAAATTTGTTATTGCCATTACCCTTCTTGGTTCTACTGCCCTTAACATCTTTCTCAGTGTAGAAACAACCATAAGATGTGAAGGAATGTGGATAAAATATCTATTGATCAAGCTCGAAGAAGTCAGAGAGCAGAAGTATAAACTAAGCTTATTAGGTTGTTTGAAATTCATTGTAATGCAAGAAGAATAATTTGTTATAATACACAATAAAAGCGTACAGCCGAACAAAAAAATGTAGTATCTAAATGCTATAAAGTACAAATGCTTATGGCTACGGTCATATCAGTACCTGCATCAGACAATCCAGAATGCTTATGCTTATGCTGCCAGGTAAAGAGAAAAAGGTAAGCTTTCAAGCATTTCATTTATCTTACATTATTTTTCCTAATTATTTTAAATTCCGTAAATTCATTAGTTACGACTAAATATCCCTCCAAACCTTTGCTGAAGCCAAGCTCGCTTCAAGCTCCTCATCCACCAAGTGCTGTCATAAGAGAAGTCAACCATTTAGTAGTTGGACACGTAAAACTGGCGATGTTATATTGCGAAAGCTACACTGACGTAATCTTCCAATGTGGGACTAAAAAATTTTCTCAGACTTTCCTAACATAGAGAACGAGAAGAGAAACAACCTCAGAAGTGGCTACCATTGCGACGAAGCAGAGAAGAAACAAGAGGAGCAGGGCATTTGCAGATCTCCCCATCTGAGAAGGGAAGAGGAGAGAGAGAGCGCAACAAGTTACTTGCTACAACCCCATTCGGTTCTACTTATAATCTCTGAAGGCAATAAATGAGAGGCTCCACTCTCCACTGTTTAACCCCTGATCCACCGACGCCTTTGTCTGTGATTCTTTACCGTTACCCTCTCTTTTCATCTGGTTGGTGAGAGATGGGCAGAGATAAATGCCACCACTTCAGTTCTCTACCGATGGTATTCAAAGCTATGCACAGTGTTTTCTTCTGTCTTTTTTTATGGTAAGAGATTATATATGTGATCTCCCACTTGGCCATATGCTACTGTTATTGGTGGGTTACCTTTTTAACTTTTGAAACGGTTTGTGAATTATTTGCCGTGATCATGGTTTGTTACGGTTCAAGTTATAGCTTTTGAAATGGAAGCGATCGACCAATTAGTAGTGATAATTACTTTAGATTGTATGTGATCTCTACGTAATCATGCGAGCATCCTAACGTTTTCCCCCTGCAGATTTCATTCTCCTATTTATTTCTACATAGATATACCGCACCATATACATAAAGTGATTTCTCATGGATCACTTCAAATATCTGTGTTTTTTTAGTAATGTCCAGAGGGAACAATTTGAACATTTAGCTTTGTTTTTCTTTTTTGGTTTTACTTTGATAAAAGCAGATACGTAATGTAGATAATTTTCTTTATTCTCTATCTTCTTTACCAAAAGAACGTCTGCTACTAATCATAAGTTGAGATTATGGAGAGATTGCCAGGTGCCCTGCAAACATATAATCATGGCACTCCATGTGAGAAGAGAAGAAAGAAATACCCATATACCTTGTCGGCGGTGAAACAATCTAAAATTTTGAAAGTTGCAATCAGAGTTGACGGTTACAATTTTATATTCTAACATGTCCCTGCATGGTAAGCATATTTTTCATGGGACAAGATCTAGACTCATGGAACGTCATTCTTTTTTTTTAATTATTATTACCTTACTTAAATCTCGACTAAATACATGATATGCAGTAGGGGATCCTATCGGAACTACCTCTGTAGGAGTGGGGTGATTCACACCATTGATTCAATAGCTATAATTTCTAAACTAACACCCTAACCACCCGCGAATGATGTAGATCAACCTATTCTATAGCGTGTTCCGATTGAATCCTCGGTCCATGATCCGTGGGATTTGAACAAGGTTTCTCTAATACCATACTAAAACTCTAAGAATGCGACAAATGTTGAGGATTATAAATTTTATATGCTAATAATTCCATTAGGAGTCTCTTCTTAAAGTTAAAAGTGACGTATCATGTTCGTGGAGCGCTGGAGAGTGGAGACCTACGATTGCCGCTCAATAGCTATCCTGACAGGGACTTTGGAGCGTCCGAAGAAATCCCATCGTCAGTGACAGCACTTCCTTGACTTATGCCGATGAATGCGGTAACAAGCTCCTTGCAGTTTATGAGAACCTTCAGAAAATTCAATCACAATTTTTTTTTTTTTCACAAGAGAAAAAGAAGGAAAATAAGTATATAAATAGCTATCTGATCTCAAAGAGGAAGCAACTAAAACAGCTGGAACATCATGAGTCTCCACAAGAGCCTGCTGATCACCAAACGGACACATCCATATGCATGTAAATGGCATATTCTCATCTTCTCTCAGACATGCAGTGTGAATGAAGTCATTAATAAAGTCATGTCACTCTTTTTTCTTTTTCTTTTTCTTTTCTAACTTTATTTTGCTTTTTTAGCAACAACTCTCAAGCCACGTCCGTGTGAATCCCAACCTAGGCATGAAATACAAGTGGATTCGCAAACATTTCGGGATCAAATTTATTTAGCAATCAAACTATCAAATTGAAATTGATTGTTTGTTGGTAGGGGTTTTCATGTATTAGTCCTTCGAATCCTTAATAATTTGAATGAGTCCCTCAAAGCATTAAATTTACTATTAG